GAATCTTTTAGGGTGGCCTCTAATCACCCTTATAGGTGTTCCCATGGTTCACACCGTATTTGAACCCCATTGAATATGGTGTGGTAATCTTGGAAGATGGGTATTAAGTGTCTTATGATGTGTTGTGCGGCCACTTTGCAGTCGCGCAGTCCAGAAAGCAATCTGGAGCATAGTGGTGGCTGGGTAGTGGAGGTAGTGGAAGTTCTCCAATAAGGTATTTATCTGGCACCGGCAGGGTGGGGCTTCTGGGTATGATCCCTGGGTCATCTGAGATTGGTGGAAGCAGGGAGAGGATCTCTGTTTATGTGTCCTATTGAGTCTGATTTTGCGGGGTTTCTCTCATGCTTGAGGCTCGGCCCGAGCATCTGAAAAGCAGCCTGGAGCATGGCAGTGGCTGGGTAGTGGAGGTAGGGGAGGTATTTGTCATAAAACATTTTAACTTTAAAATTCAATACCACACCTACTCCAGATGGAATCCCAGCAATCAAGAGCTTCCACAAGCAAGGCCCAGGTATGCGTTCCAGGATTAAATCTTCATGCTATATGGTGGCAGAGATGCCAGGTTGTTCTTCCCCAGCTCCTCGCCTGCTCGTCAGCCCGGCTGTCACCCCCACAATGTGTCTCCAGGCACCATCTTATTGCACCAACAGCCCTGGTGCAGAGACACCAAATTGAATCCCAAAATGGATTAGTGTCTTACAGAAATGTCTCTGGAACCCAACCATTTACAATCTAGTATTCCAGAAGCAAGCGACCATGACACCCAAGATAATAAATGAACAATGGGCAATAAATGATTTAGCATCTGCCTCTGGGAGGCAGGCTTGAATGGTGGTAGGAAAATTCAAGCAAAACATAATTCCCCAAAATTGCTTGCATTGGACCCAGGGTTAGGACTGGGATGGGGTGGTGCGGGGAGGTTATACTGGGAGCACTGGTGGAAGAAAGTATGCACTGGTGGAGGAATGGGTGTTCAATCATTGTACTGCTGAAATCTCAAACATGAAAGCTTTGTAACTATCTCATCGTGATTCAATTTTAAAAAAAAAAAAAAGCCATGTGGAATTCATGCCCAATTCAGTCAGCCTAATTAATGGCTGAATAAAAAGCAGTACTCCTACATTAAAAAAAATAAAAAGATAATAAAATTCAATACCTGCTTCCAGAGCAATATTACAGCTGGTGGGGCATTTGCCTTGCATATGGCCAATCCAGGTTTTATGCTCAACACCCAATTTGGTCCCTGAGCACCATGAGGAGTAATTCTTGAGTGCTGAGAGTGCAGGGCCAGGAGTGACCCCTGAGAATTGCTGGGTGCAAACAAAAAACTTAGTACCTGTGTGTTCTGATGCAAATATAATACAGCTCACCCTTAAATTTCAATAATTGTTCTTATTCTAGCTCCATTAGTTATCACTTTCCATTACCTATAACTCACTCCCAAGACTGAGTCACAAAAAAAGATATTTGCATGTTGTGCTCATTTCTGTGTTTAACGTATTTTTCAATTTCCAAAGCTGGTAGAAAGGCTAATTAAAAGAATAATATTACAGATGAACTAGAGCAAGGATTAAAAGAAAAGCTACTACAGTCCTCTATCATTTGTGGTAACAGCTATTACCTGCAGGTAATATGATGAAAAGAACTGTGCCAATACCCAACTAGTTATTTTCTCAGTTAACAAACTTTTGGTTTAGGAAGAAAAACTTTCAGTGGTACTTTTCCAATTTTTAGACACCATGACTCATACTACTATTAAAAATAGTGTCTCATACAATACAGTGTCTCATTGTGCACCTTACACAGGTGAAACCACCAATGTCTCCAGGTCTCATTCAGCTGCCATCTACTTTCATCCTATTCCCATAGCAAACTCGGTTCTGTTTGTCAACTCCCAGGATCTGTTACCATTGATTTTTTAACTCCATGTGTTTTTATAATATTCCAAGTATGTGAAATATCATTCTAGATGTGTCCATCTGACTTCTTTCAGCATGATATACTCTGGCTCCATTTATGTAACAGCAAATTGCATGACTGCTTTAATCTTTTCTTATAGCTAAATAGTATTCCATTGCGTATGTAAAACTAACTGTCTTTATAAACTGATTTTTTCTTGGACATTGGGTTGATTCTAAATCTTGACCATTACAAATAATGCTCCAATAAACATAAAAGTGAAAATATCTTTTCACAATATTTTTTTGGGCCTCAGGGTAGATTCCCAGGAGAGGAATCACTGAGTCATAGGGTATCTGTTATAACTTTCCCTCTATCATTTCTAATTTTATATTACTTTATTTTTTCTTTGTGAGTTTAGCTAAAGTGTATCAATATAGTTTATTCTTTTTTTTAAAAAAAAAGCTCTTTGTTTTGATCTTTTGTATTGTTTTCCTAGATTCCTATTTTGCTGATTTTAGTGCTAAATTTTATTTATCTCCTTTTGCTTACTTGCTCTCTTTTGTTTATCATTCTCAACAAAAGGGTGTGTAATTTGTTTATTTGGGGTTTTTATTTCCTGATTAATGCTTGCATTACTGAGAACTTCTCTCTTGGACCCACTTTTGCTGTGTCACATATGTTCTGATAACTCGTGTCTTAATTCTCAGTTTCCAGGAATATTTGATTTCTTATATGATTTTTTATCTGCCCCACTGGTTGTTTACTGATAAGTTTTTAAGTTTCCAAATATTTGAATTTTCTTTAGTTTCTGTTTGTGATTAATTTCCACTTTCAAAGTGCCATGGTCGAAGAATGTGGTTGATATGGTTTCTGTCCTCTTGATTTTATGAAAACCTATTTTGGGTTCCAGCATATGACTTACATTAGAGAATGACCTATGTGCATCGGAGAATAATTTGTACTCTAATTTTTGAGGGGCAAGTGGAAAATCTGATACCCATGTCTATTAGGCTCATCTCTTTAACAATGTTCCCTTACTGATTTTTTTTTTTTTGCCTAGTTGATCTATCCAGAGGTGAAAACGGCTTGTTAAAATCTCCTACTTCTATTGTATGCTACTAATATCTTTCCTTGGATCCATTAGTTTCTCTAGTGGAGGTCTGTACTACTGTTTCTTTTAGCTTATAAAGTAGCTTCATCAAGTCATCATCTGAATGGTTAAAAAACTGGTGGGTGCTCGAGGACCTTTTCAGAGTGTTATTTGTCCATTAACTGTGGTGGATTATTCTGTTTCTTCTTTTTATATTAAAGAAACAGGGGTATGACTGAAGGCATGGGTTTGTTGCAGGCCTGGAAAGCAATCTAAGGCTCACATTCACCAGTTCCACACAGAGCCTTATGATATTGTGTTTATGGTGCGTCTGGCTACTGTTGAACTTCTGCAACATGAATATGCGCTGGCTTCCTGTATACAAGAACTAAATCTACTGACTAGAAAAGAGGCAATATGCACAAAGCTATACAGTCTGCATCTGATATAATTAAGGACATTTCTTTGAGATTATCACACAAAGAATTGATGAAATAGCTCAAGATATGAAAGACTCACTATATCAATATTTTAAAAAAATCCAGTCTCAAACCTTGATGGGTCAATTTCACCAGGAAAAGAAACCTTACTTTTAATTTTATATCCAATTCATAAAAATAAAGAGTCCCCAAATTTTTATTTGTTAAAAATTTGAAGACTAATAGCAATGGAGGATCAATGTTCTTGTATTGAAATATTTTTTAAGAAAAAATTTCCCCTGATAATAAATTACTTACTAATTGTTACTGATGATTTTGCTCCATCATTGATAAGGTGCTACAAGAGTTTTTCTGGGTGTTTTGCATGTTTGAAAAAATAAAGTTCTGCTTGCTCTTTAACCCCATGTTATCTTGAACTCATATTTCCCCTTTTTTTCTCCTTTCACATATTTTTAAGCAAGTTTTATTTAATAAAAACTACCTTGCTTCACGCGCACACAAAAAACCAACCAGTTCTCAATGTCACTGTCACTGTCCTCCCGTTGTTCATCGATTTGCTCTAGCGGGCCCAGTAACATTGTAAGACTTGTTACTGTGTTTGGCATATCGAATACATCATGTAAAGGCAAGGTACTCTTGGTAGCTTTCCAGGTTCTCCAAGAGGGGTGGAGGAATCGAACTCGGTCGGCCCTGTTGGCTGTGTGCAAGGCAAACACCCTACCCGCTTTGCTATTGCTTCATTGTATATATGCCATTCATTATAAACTTTACTATATTTCGCTGAATAATCATTATACCCCATCTTTTCAGTTACAGCAGCATATATTTTTTCAAATCTTCATGTAATGACCACATCCCACTTTTTGGCAAAGGTACTTGATACAAGTAATGCAATGAAATTTCAATTGGTACAGTGAAATATGGTAGCTGTCAAAATCTGAGTGAATGTCTACATAGGTCATTATATTATGTCATTAAAGCAATCAGCGAATCAGAAGCAATTAATTCAATGACTGATTGTTTGGACAAGTTTTATTAAAACAATGAAGAATTCAGTCACTTGCTCCTTTATACAGAAGTTAGTTGGTCATCAAAATGTGCCTGTGTATAGAACTTTTATAAACTCTTCGATTTAGTGCTAGAGTTCTTAGAAAACAAAAAGTGTCTTCCCAAGCCAACTTGATTAATTGCAAAAATTACATAGCTTATTTGACACACTTGTTTAATAAATATAAAGAATCAAATCTACAGTTCTGAAGTGATGAGTTGAATTTAATGAAAACTAAAACTTTTATTTCCACGTTTGTGGCAAAACTTCTCTTGTGCAAATGAAATTTTAGAATGAGGAGAATTTAGCCTGTTTCCAAATTTATCAACAGTAGGAAAACATAATGAAGACTTGCTTACCAAAACTGTCAGCACTTGAAGGCTATTGGTTTTGAATGCAATAAACAATTTGAAGATATTTTCAAATGAACATACCCTTTTGGGTTTGAGGCTTATTCAAGCGCTACTCAAAGGAATTTCCAGATTACAAGAAGTAACAACAAAAAAGAAATTGAGGCGTTGGCAGCTCGGGCCCGAGTGCAAGGAACAGAAGCACCATGATTCTCCAGAGGCTCTTCCGGCTCTCCTTTCTCCTTCAGCCCGCTGTCTCCATCCACTTGAGGAGAAACATTGGTGTGACTGCAGTGGCTTTTAATAAGGAACTTGATCCTGCCCAGAAAATCTTCGTGGACAAGATCAGGGAATACAAAACTAAGCGGCAGTCATCCGGAGGCCCTGTGGATACTGGCCCAGAGTATCAGCAAGAACTGGACCAGGAGCTTTTCAAGTTTAAACAAACGTATGGCAAAGCAGACATGAATACGTTCCCCAACTTCACATTTGAAGAACCCAAATTTGAAGTCATTGATAAACCCCAGTCCTGAAGAAACTATGTAAAATTACCTGGTTGTTTGTTCTGTTTTACAACTGATAAGTAGTAGCAGAGTGAACACATCTCTTCAGTCAAATGTTCTTTCAATTCTGATTGCAAATAAATAATTTGGTTTTGAGTGAAAAAAAAAGAAATTGAAATTTAAGTTCAAAGATGGTTACCAATAATTCTGACTACAAAAGCAAATACCTACACTTTATCCTGCTCTATGGGTTAGAGAGGAAAACTCTTTAACTGTATTTCTTTCATCATACTTAGTGAAATGTGAGGTCTATGCAGGCACAAGCCCATTGACTTAAAAAAGAAACCAATTGCAAATAATTAGTTGCCAGAAATTAATAATTATTTTTTAAAAAATAGAGCAGGATGTTAATAAATTAATAGCAAGACATCAGGTTCATCCAATCACAAGATTATTGTTAAGGTAATTAGTAATTAAAATTTTGTTATCTTTATGTTTTATATGTAATGCAAATGCTATAATAGTTAATTTTATCATTTTAAAGTTCAAGATGTCTTGTGTACAATATCTTTCTTTTCTTTATTATAGGATGTAAGTAAAATATAGATGCATAAAAGAACACAAATTTTTATAGCATTTTTTCAATTTGTTTATGTAAGAGTGTATTATCAGAGAGGCACTGAGTAGTTTAGTTGTTTTCTTTTCTGAAAATAAGCAATAGGACAAACAAATTTGGGGATCTCTGTTCTATAAGCTGTCAACAACTTCTGAAAATGTGTAAATGATAAAGTTATAGCAATAAAAAAGGGAGAGCACAAAACAAAAAAGTAGAAAAATAGGACAGATAGGAGTAAGAGCTAGAAAATGAAAGCGAGAGAATAGGTCAATTTAAAATGTCAAAAATGGGAAACAAAAGGAAAAGCAGTACTGCTGAATATAATCCAGACCCATAAGAGCATTTCAGGAAGTAGGAAAAAGATAAACCCCTCAATCAGGCTCAAATCATGCTATAGCCCTGGTCAGACCCTATGGTCGGCTGATGTGTTTACAACAAATGTACGAGTCTGAGTTAGTTCCTAATTAGGTTAGGATGGCTGCCAAAAAAAGTAGTGGTATTTTTAAATGTAAGGCTATGGTTACAAACGGATATCAAAAGCCTTGACACGTAAGTGGCCATGACAATACCTGCCAATTGAAGATACATAATTGGTTCCCCTAGGTCAAACCAGCTAGTCATGTTTAATTCTCACAAGGACAACCTTTCAAGAACCACAACATTTAGAAAATAGAATAATGTCATTAAATTCATTAAATTTACAAATTTCATTCACTTGTATTGGAAGGAAAGTAAAAAGGTAATATTTCAGAAATTTGTGGATTTCATGGTGCTGCTTCTCACGATGCACATTTACCTAGTAAGAGAGTGCTATAATTGCTATAATTATGATTTCCTTGCATATCCCCAATGTATATTTAGGAAGGGAAAAAGTATCTGCCTCTGTGGAAAATGTGGGTTACCTTTTGTTAAACAAAAAATTCTAAGAAACAATATAATTACTAAATTCCTCAAATCAGGTTAAATATCCCTTCAGTTATTAATCCAGATAAATAAGAGTAGACCATTTATAATCATCACCAGCAATATCTCCAATATATGGTGCAAGTGGAATTCTTGCAGATCATAAATCTCAATGTATTATTCCTTAAAATCTTACAAAATGTTACCAACAGACTCACAGAACATATTTCCACACTACACTGCCATAAGGAGAAATGGGCACAGTTCAAAGTGTCTTCAGAGCAGAAAAACCCTCTTGAACCATTCTTGCCAATTGGCACAGTGATTTTAGGTGAATAGCATTTTCTGCCATTTATTTCACTTCTGTCAATATTTTGCCTTTAATGAGTTCTAAGCATCACTGTATCACTGTACCACTGTCATCCCATTGTTCATCGATTTGCTTGAGCAGGCACCAGTAACGTCTCCATTCTTCCCAGCCCTGAGATTTTAGTAGCCTCTCCTTACTTGTCCTTCTCAACAGTGCTGTATTGGAGGCTCTTTCAGGTTTAGTAGAATGAGACCCATTATTCTGACTGTTTTTGGCATATCGAATATGCCACGGGTAGCTTTCCAGGCTCTGCCATGCAGGCAGGATACTCTTGGTAGCTTGCCAGGCTCTCCGAGAGGGACAGAAAATGTATATAAGAGAATACAAGTAAGTATATTAAAACCAAACACATGCATGCTGCTCTAGGTACATCAGTAGGCTAGACTATAAGAGGTCTTCTGGGAGCTTTGTTTTATAGTCTCTAGATCTTGGCTGTTGATGGGATCACTTGGCACCGGGGGCAGTTTGTGGATGTGACTTCCAAACCACTGGAAAATGGTGGATCTGGGTGGAGGAGGCCCAGTCTTGATCCAAGCAGGCTTGGAGATCTCAACCCCGGGTCCCGCACACCTGGGTTCCTCCACCGGTTCCTCCATGAGTGAGGCTCGCCCAAGCATATGGAGAATGGCCTTGAGCATGGCTGTGGCTGGGTTCTGGAGGTCTTTAGCTGCTGGAGCTTTGCTTGGGCTTGGGAGGGAAACTCAACCCACTCCCCTCCCAAGGGCCCCGGTGAAGACAGCCTGATGCGGGGGCAGGAGACTCTTGTTCTAAGAATACTTTTTGTAAATGGGTTTATTATTCATGAAATATCTTTTTTTTCCCTACAGAATTCATTGCCGAATCCAAAGCAGCTGTTGAAGTTGTATAAACACAATGCACCATTATTCTTACTCCAAAATTATGCTGGGGGACACTGGAATGTCACATATATCTCAGACTGGTGGACTATCAGCAATATGGAAAGATTAATCTCCCTTCTCAAGAAGATACCTATTAAAATATTGTAAGAACTCAGTCCACTGAAGCTCCAAGGATTTATTTAAACTTAATTTTCTAACTATAACTAAAGACTGAGAAATCTGTGATCTAGGATTATTGTACAGTATGTGGGAACCTAATTAGTTAGCTTTTATTTTTTGCCAACTACATCATCTAAATCTCAAAGCCTTATCCTATGATTGACAACAAAACAATTCAGATATCTTTAACAGTTTATTTAGAGCATATACTATTCTTTGCATTTTGTATACTACTTTCAATCTTCTAAGCAGCCCAACAAGAACAAGAAAATAGTGATTAGCACAATTTTACAGATAAGAAAATTAAGGCTTTGAATGCTTTGGCCCACACAGGTCAAACTGTATGAGAGCAAACCCAGATCTATCCACCTGACCCCAGAAGCAAACCCTTAAAACAGTTTCTGGAAATATACGATCAGAAATAGAATTCACAGGATTAAAAACTCAGGGACAGTTATTTTCCGGGAAAAAATGAAATTTTTAGAAACGACATATAAACAATTCAAATGTCCAGTAACATCCTTTAAAATGAGGTATTTGGTAAGACTAAATAGTTGATGTATTCATCTAAATCACATCTTATTTTTTACTCCACAATCCTGAGGAGCCCAGACCCTTTAACATCTGGGAATGACTAGAAGCAGGCCAAGCTACATCTACTAAATTAGCTCAATTTCCATTTGGTTGGTTTTCTAAATATCTATAAGCTTATTTTAAGTTTTTGGTTTTTTTTCTTTAAAAAGCTGTTTCTAAACTGATATATATATTTTTTTTTCCCATGGATTGTTGAAGCAAGGTTTTTGGCCTGAATGATGTTGAGTGAGTGGGGAGTATGAACTAAATATTGCAAATATTTAGCTTTGTGCGGGAGACCTGATTAGTACTACCCTAAACTCACTTTGGATTGCAACCCAGCTTGGACTAAACAACAGTAGGGTGGGATCCTAGAGCCATAGCATTTAAAGAATGCACACAGACACAATTTCAATTTGAAACAGTAAAGGAACTATTTATCATCATTTGTAATTATTTGTATCTCCTTAATTATGGTATGAGGTCAGAATTGAGGGAGAGATGTGAAGGGGTCATAGACAAATTATATAAAAGGAAAAAAAGACCCAAAATACTGTTGGGAAGAGTGCAGTAAGTGGTTGCTCTCAAGAAGGTAAAACTATCCAGACAAGATAAAGAGTAAATAGTATCCTATCATATCTGGGTGTCCAACTTACAAAATAAAGCAGTGGTAAGACTTAAAGTGTTACACAAGAATGACTTAGAAGGGAGCTCATAATTTTATTTTATGAGCTCCTTGAGACAAATGTTTTTTAACTATGCAGTCTGTTGACCAGAGATGGACTTTAATCATTCTACAGTTATCCTATCGGTTCCCATTCCATCATTTTCCCTGTGCTTCCTACATCACATAGAATTATATTTGTCTGATCACTTGTTAGCCTTCATTTAATTGTGAATCTCTTGAACATAAGATAACATAACATTTGGCACATAAGTGCCTGAAAATATTGACAAATATAGTAATGTCATCTTGAAGAGTATTTGCTAGAGAAATGCAATGAGCCTATTAATGTCAAATGTCTTTATTAGGGCTTGGATAAGGATACATAAGTCTTGGTAATATTTTTAATAAGATGGTGACTGAAGGATCAGTCACGTATGTTGGATGATGAAAATAGGACTGAAGAAAATACTTGCACAGGCATCAGAACTATTGGGCCAAAACTAACAAAATGCAATTGCAAAGATAAATGTAAAATACTGCACTTGGATTCAAATGCTCAATTTCACAAATACAAGCCAAGTTTACCTTTATATGGCAAAGAAGTTCAGGGGTTTCACTGACAGAAATGTTCATATGAGACAAGTTCATGAGTTGGCTATAATGCAATCTTAAGCTTCCTTAGCAGAAGTGAATTATTTTTAATATTTTTCCCATTTTTTAGGAATATATTTTCATGACTATTACTAATGGTGGAACACATAGGACAAGAGAGGAACAAGGTCTGCTACACTCTGTACAGTCTTGCCACACCAGTGTCCTGTGTTCTGGACTGACTTCCACATTTTACACAGATTATTGACAAATTCAAGAGACTTCATTTGTCTGCCAACTAGTAAAGACCCAAAAATCAAATCCTCAGCTCCTATGCAGAATCTACAACAGAATCAATCT